GTCAAATGTCTTGGAGGCGCGACATGTGTCCCAGGTTGGCAAAGGCTGCCATAAGTTTTTGTTATTTGTGAGGTGATCTCGTACCCAACTCCATCTTTAGAACAATCTAGCTCCTGAGGTAGTTGAAGCTTTCAACTATTTGCAGCTGATCATCACAAGAGGTGAATGCAGTTATAGACACCTGCCAGCCTTGCACGACTAGTTTGCGTTTGGACGGTGTAAAGCATATACCGTGTATCTGGCTGGATAGCACGATCGCCAAGCGGCTCTAAACAATCTGAACTGCCTATGCGGGTGTTATGCGATCGAAAACATCAATCGTGACAATAGATATATTGAGGCACAGCGACTTTTAGACAAAAACTTACCTGTACAACTTTTCTGGGTGTACTTGTTGGCTTTGCGGGTTGAGTCACAGTTGGAGTTGGAGCAGAGGCCGATNATTGAGCACCATTGTTGGAAGAATTTTTCTGTGGACGAGAAATCAAGAAGGGAAAAATAAATGAATCAAGATGATCACGACTTTGTCTATTGACTCCGTTGTTCGAAAAAAACCTCACGTTAGACAGATGGGGTTTGACCAGCATTTTCATGAAATCAAAAAAGGTTAGGACAGTGAAAGTTGAAACCAAGAATCTGCAGCTGCGTATCTCGCCAATCATCGTATTGTAATCTCACTTAAAATGTTTTCTTTAAATATTTTCAATCTAGTTTACTTAGATTAGATTCAAATTATGATTATAATTACTCTTTTCAGACAAAAGAAATCTGATTCAGAGCCTCACATCACAATCGCGCAAGATATTCTCTGACACTGTGCTGAATATAGAACTAGCAAAAATTAGGACGTTCTCAGAGGAAACGGTTATCATGAACGGTCCATCCAAAGCATCTTTTAGGGGAGGCCACAATCTGAATAAATTCATACGGCTCAAAAGGAAAAATTATTCATCTGTCTATCTTTTTAAGGAGATTCTGTATCAGATTTCTTGAACAAACGTCTGACGAGTGCAGTGAAACGGACCTACAACACAGCTACATTATCGTGTGTTCGTAGTCTCGACCATCATCCGAACTAGTCACAAAGATAGGCTGCCTACGTTGGCCACTTCTATGACTTTACTCTTTCCAGTGAGTTTGTAATGCGACGTACATTGGCCGCACAGCGAGGCAACTATCCCAACGGATGAAGGAACACTGCACAAGCTGGTTAAAAGAAGGAGGAACAGGGAGCATAGGAAGCACCATTCCTGGTCATCTAGTGAATACAAGTCATCAAATTAGACCAGAATCCGCTTTCAGCGTAATCTATCGTATGCCCCCTCCACAACCCCTCTAAGGCAGTGCGTTTGTACATATTAGTCACCCCGGAGGTGATAGGCATTCGCCTGTTCGCACCAGAGCTATGGGCACAAAAGCGACTGGCTCAATTTCTCCATTTATCCTGACCCCAAATCGATCATCAACATCACCACCACCAGCAGCACTCCAATCACAATAAATCTCACCCAAATACAGACACATATGGCTTACCTCATCCCTCCCCTCTCCCTAACCCTAATAACCTTTCACCAAGCTTGAAAATGTGTCCTCTCTAACAACAAACTCTTCAATGATCTGTACAAGCACGATTATGAATCATTCGAAAACAACTGTTCACCTTCGGAATTGCGTTCTAACTTGTAGGTCTTCGAAAGACAATCGAATCTCATGTTTAGCGTATCGTCCGTATTGTCGACAAACTGTTTCGCTGATGTCTTCGGGGAATCAGTTAGAAAAATTGTCAAAATATTCCCCAAGAAAAAATATACGCAATGAAAAAAAATTAACGGAGCGCACAAACTGAATACAGTCAATCACTTGGTAAGTCGCATTTTCCAATATGTTTCAACCTTTTAGCAAACACAAACCGATCGTATAAGCAATGAGGTCGCCCCTCCGGTATGTCGCACTTCTCGATAGGGGTGGTGGCGAAGTGGTTCAGTCACTGTCACCAGTGTGCTTTGGACCCCACGGTCTAAGGTTCGAGGAGTTTCTCCGACAAAGAAACATATCAGTTCGTGTTGGTGATTCATTATCTGAGCCTATCATCGCTGCCCGAGGGAATCCTTAAGGATCCGTACTGGGCCTCGTCTTTTTCTTGCATTTATAAACGACCTGCCACATGTCTTTGGGCCGAACACACTACTATTTGCGGACGATGATAAGATATGAAGAACTGTACCAAATTCAGAGGATTACATAGCACTCCAACAAACGATCGATACAGCCCACCAACAGTCCATCGCCAATGATATCGAGTTCAACATTTCGAAATGCAAAGTTATTTCTAGGCGACACAAGACTCGTTTGTCTTTTGTTCTGGGGAACCAAATACTAACGCTTTCCATTGACGAAAGGGATCTGGGAGTTATGATACAGGAGGACGTAGGATGTTCCACACACTGTGCCAGGGCAACATCTATGGCAATCCATGGCAAGTTGGACTACTCAGACGTGTTTTCGGGCAGTTCGAAAAAGCGCTATTCCCACGCTTGCTATCAGCGTGCCTTCGACTATACACGGAGTACGCCGTTGAAGTATGGAATCCATGATTGAACCGCGACAAGAAGGTTCTACAACGTCCGCAAAGGTTGGCAATAAAATTGGTAAAAAATCTGTATAACAAGACATACTCCGAAAGACTGCAAACATTAGGACTTTACTCATCTCAGTACCGCCGACTTCGAGGGGACCTAATCTTGACATATCACATACTGCAGTTCAGTTCAGTTTGAACAACCATTAACCATGCACTTTCGTGCGCCGGTTTTGGTTGCTGTCTTTTGGCTGCCCATTGGGATGAAGAATAGAAGAAAGGAAAGTTGAAAGTGGATTCGAAAGGAAAATGGAGAAGTTCAGTGGACTAAGGTTGGGAAGAAATTGAGGAGATCCACGAACGTCGTTCCGCTTGTCTCATTGAGTGCATGAAGCTGAGAGCTGATCCCGAAAAGCGGACCGATAATCAACGCACCAGCGAACAACACGCTGAACCGAAAAGTCTCCAGAAGCTCCGACACGGGTGCTTCATTCACGCTCCCGCGTTGGATTTACGCCCCACTGCCTTGTGGGTCAGACTTTTGAGTCAAAGGCTCCGGTTAGGGTTCCCAAAGAAAAACCCCTTCGTCGGTGTGGGCTACCGCGAAGTATGCCGTGCCCTAAAGTCTTAGGCACCCATTTGGAAAACGATCCTTCCTTTCCGACTAGTTCTTCGTGCATCACATACTGCACCAACCCAACGACCCTTGTCGTTCTATGCTAACTTTATCCCAAAAGGATCAACTCAGGGGACTAAAGGTGAAGATCCAGAACAGCTAACTCAATTGCAGTCAGTGTGCGGCGTATATAGTGTGTGCTCCTGCAACTGAACTATTTAAATCGCAACTTGATAAAGCATTGGAACACTTAACATTTCGACATCCGTGAGTTATCATGCATATTATTATTATTATTATTATTATTATTATTATTATTAATTTATCTTTGTAAGGTTCTTCAAAAGATTCTGTAAAAATCCTATAAGACATGATAAGCTTTAGCTTTGTTAAATCGCCCATAATAAAATTTTGACTTTAAGGTGTCATAAAAAAACTTGGTTGTCCACTAATGTGAGGCTAAATCAGTGAACAAACCACACGCAATGTCGCAGTGATACCTCACTGATCACAAATCAGATAATCCTTGTGAGCAACACACACAGATGTCAGTAATTCGACACTTGGTGTCACAGTGTGCAAGCGTGTATCTATCGATCATAAGAAGAATTTTTGAACATGCTGCTGATTAACCCTTTATTGAGTCGAATGTTGGCCTTGGACAGAGGGGAAGAGACCCTGAAATCGATTCAGTTCTGACAAAACTTTAGCCTCAATGATTTCCTGTTTAAAACGTGAACAAAACAAATTTGTGGCCATGCAACTGTGAATATCAGCAATCTGTTAGTTGTATTGTATTGTATTGTATTGTATTGTAATAACTTCTGTAAGCATGAAGCCTACATTTCAGTTAAAAATTTATAGAATTTGGAGCGAAGGAGAAAATAGCAAAATAATAATAATAATAATAATGGAAAAGGAGCTTTAAATCCCAAAACTGTTAACAAAGTCTGTGAAAACCTGTTCTTTGTTAACTAGAATACACGCTAATGAGGGTCCTGTAGAGTTACAATATATGTTTATTCGAGAGGGAACACAACGATATTGGGATCTAGTTGAAGGATGGGAACAACAGGAAGTTAGATCTGCCTGTAGCAGATGTGTAGAGTCGATGAGAATCTTATGTGCAAACTTTTCACACGCATTCAAATGACATTCGCATAGATCAGTCACCAACTCCTTCAGCGGGATTGTAGAGACACAGCTAATGATAGTCCACGTCGAGGCAGTTTAAAATTTTTCTTTAGAAAATTGGAAAAAAATAACAGGTGAACAATAAAGTAAAACGGGAAAAACACACTGGTACACAAATCTGGAAATAATTGATTGTTGTAGTTTGAAAATCAAAACCCTGGATGAACTAATAACCAAAACATTTATTTGCCGAAGACATGGTTACTCACACATAGTCCAGAAAGATATTCCAGCATGATTTTCATACGACCAAGATCCTCATTCTCCGATAATACCAGACCATCTTCGGCTTCCTAAGGGACCAGAATGAAATGAAACGTATGGAAAATGCATGACAGAAAGAAATGCCATCTTGACCATAATTGATACTGAATTTGAATTGAAGTTATTGCAGACATCAGGCCATTCATCCCTATCCCCAGCTCGATTACATAAATGACGACTTCGCTGAAAAAAGTTTTTCTTATATGATGACATCATCTCAGAACCCCTCTCGACTTTTACTAGAATGCTTTAAGTTACTAGGACATCTCTGTTTTTTTCTTCCAGTTAGACACTATCTTATCAATTAAGTACGCACATGAGAGTGACACGAAATCTCAATCTCATATTCATTTCTAATTTTCCGAATCTCCGAGCATTTGGTAGGTTACTTTCCACTTGCGTACTATTTCATCCAAGAACAAGAAGATTCTATTTTGTCCTACCAAAGGACTTCGACTAATCACTACTCTCGCCAAAAGATTAGACCCCTTTTTCAGTTTAAGCTCAAGTTCCTTCCATGTACGCAGGGGTTCGCTAGCGTGGTGGATGCAAGCTAGCGTTACGACACATTAAGCGTATTGCGTGTTAGAGCCTTTATTACGAAGATCCAGCTACCTGAAAATCTACCCCAGTACAGACCTCTACTAGTTCTTAACTATTTGTGCAAACAGAATGAATGAGTTTTTATACTTTTAAAAATAATTATTGGCATGACACTCGATCTGAGAGATCTCGATTGTTCAAGATACCCTATTAGTTGAATAACCATAGGCAATGGAGTAATAGCATCAATAGTATCCAAGCATTATTTTACTTTACTGCGACTGGCTCCTTGGAAAGGATCAGCCGGCTCTAGACATAATCATAAAGTTCCTTGGGAGCTGGGTACGAGAGAAGTCCCCAGCGTTTTTTTGTTTTGAGGATGCACCTCTAGCCTTTGCAAGGCAGCAGGAAGTAATTCCTCACCTCGGAAGTGAGGGGGTCAATGACTCTAGTTTTAAAAGGCCAGTCACATCGACCTTTGTCACGAAACCGTCATTGGGCTTATGCGGCTTTTAAACGGGGATCAGGTGACCAGCCTGAAACCCACCACACCCTGGTAGTGCCACCGCTGTTTGTTCGCGACTGCTTATTTGTTGCAGTATACCACAACTTATTCACCGCTACCCTTCTTCTGTGAAGGTATCCTCCTATTCACAACCCGGAAACGCACCGGGTAGCATTCAGCTCTGCTTTACCTGAGGTTATCCAGCAGGGTATCTAAGCATTGCACTCACACGAGTGTCATGTTCAGCTGTATTATCGTTCACACCAGTTTTTCCAACATACCGCCGAAATTGGATCAGTGATAAACACAACATCCATGTTCTCAAACAGATAACACCAGTTCACAGATTTCATCATAGCAACACTTACATGGTACCCTGCGGCAAACAGACACTCCATAGCTCCGGGGACATTCAGCAGACAGGTTTGAAAATCGGGATGCGACAGTTTTAAGCAGCGTGTGGTAGCACTCTGTGGATTTTCTACCACATCGTGAAAAATACGCGATATTATTTGTGCGGCGTTACGCCGCACGTTCGGGTCGTTCGCTCCCATGATTTGCACAATAGATGAATCCATTGCATGCTTGTCCAGAACCAGACGAAGTTGATCCATTCGAGCACCTGCACGACAAATCAATGAAGATTGTGTGTCAAATGAAATAGGATATTAGCTTACCAGTCACGGTGCTCACACATTCCCGATTTCTATACAATTTGAATGTGGGCAACGCGAATACGAATTCACGTTCGCACAGCTCTCGTGCATGATCCGCGTTAACTTTACCGCAAACAACACGTCGCGCGGAGAACTCCTCGGCGATTTGATGAAACTGAGGGGCTGCAGCACGACAAGGACCGCACCAGTCAGCGTAAAAGTCTAACAGAAGCAATTGATTCTCGGACGCGCATTTTGCCAAAATATCTTCGAACTCCTCCAGAGTTTTAAAAATGATTATAGACTCAACGGTACTCATCTGCACATGAAAAGAAAACACAATTGATCAACAGATTCCAGGTTTTACTAGCAACATACAACAAACACGTTTTCACATTTCCGCTCACAAAGGTCATGACTACTATTTAATATCATATTCATCTCCCTATTTCTCCAGGTAATCTTTGTATTGCCACAGTCCGCTTCCTGAGCATTTACCGTACATTCCTATACTCAGTAAACAAAAAGGAAGTGAAAATGTGATTATGCTTTGTTTTATTTATTTACATTCCCTGTTGAAAGCATGTGCTGATCAGCTTGTAACAGGACAGATTGATTTTTCAAAATATGTTGGTCTAATCGAACGACCGTCGATTGTTGCAGGTTAGCCCGGATAAAACCAATTCCAAAACAAAGATGTTGATGATCGTAAAGATACCTTGGAGCAAAAAAACGCCAACGTTGCGCTGTGACAAACCATTGCTAGATGTACGCGTCAGCTCATCCTCAGTCTGGCCAGGGGTGGGTGTATAGGTTTGTGGCTGGTCACACTTCCCTTGCACCTCGCGTAACACAGCCATTCGACTAAGCGTATCAAATAGTTGCAGCTGAGGAAGCCCTGCTTAATGCCTTCTCGTGTTGCGGAGATATTTTCCCACCAAAGGGAGAGTAAAAAAAACTGGCATCCCGGACCATAACCGGGTTGGCGGACCAGTAGTAGTTCATCTAGGGGAGTTGATAAAAACCTGATTTCAAACCAAACACGAAGAGGTGTACAGACCACACACACC